AACATTGTTCTTGATGTTCTTTTTCGGTCTTATTTTGCAGTATTTTCCTTCATTAGCCTCCCAAATGTCCCATTCCCCAAAAGTCCATCTTTAGGCCTCTCCCATTTCATACCTTAGCCACCTTTTAGTTCTCCCACTTGTCTCATGTTACATTCTCCATAAGTGATCTCATTCATATCCTCATGGCTTCAATACAGCTTTAGAGACTACAAGTGACTCTGCTACTTACTAACTGTGTAATCTTGGATTGGTTTCTTAATCTATAAAATGAGAATAATAATAATTCATAAGTACTAAATGACATATATAAAGTTTCTGCCACAGAACCTGATGTATTTAAGCAAAGTCTCAATAAATGGTCACTATCATTTTTTTCTTTCTCCAGCCTCGATCTCCTTGCTGAGTAACACATGTATCTATTCATCTTGGGACTTTCCTTTGTTTGTTTTATATATAGTCATCTCTTGGTATCCACCGGGGATTGATTCCAGGACCCCTACAGAAACCAAAATCCACAGATGCCCAAGTCCCTGTTATAACATGGCATACTGTTTGCATATAAGCTATGTGCATACTCCCATATACTTTAAATCATCTTTAGATTACTTGGAATACCTACTAATTGCTGTTATACTATTTTTTTTTTTTTTGAGACAGAGTTTCGATCTTGTTGCCCAGACTGGAGTGCAATGGCATGATCATGGCTCACGGCAACCTCTGCCTCCCAGGTTCAAGTGATTCTCCTGCTTCAGACTCCCAAGTAGCTGGGATTACAGGCATACACCACCATGCCCGGCTAATTTTTCATTTTTAGTAGAGACAGGGTTTCTCCATGTTGGTCAGGCTGGTCTCGAATTCTCGACCTCAGGTGATCGGCCTGCCTCGGACTCCCAAAGTGCTGGGATTAGAGGCGTGAGCCACTGTGCCCAGTCACTATTTTTTATTACAATATTATTATTTTTATTGGGGTTTTTCCAGATATTTTCAATCCAGAGTTGGTTGAATCTGCAGATGCAGAACTTCCAGATACAAAGGGGTGATTATTTTCCTCAAACTCAAGATGTTCACCACCCACTCCCACCACTTAAACTGGTCCTAGTATTCTTTATCTCAGGGTATGGGAACCACTATCCACCCAGATGCCTAAATTCGTAACTCTGAAGCCATATTCTAGACCCTTCCTTCTCAATTACCATCCTTCCCACTTCCCCTAATTAAGCAACTAAGAATATCCAGCTCTGCTCCCCACCTCCCTACCCCGCACCCTTCAATACAGCTTCAGATGTGCAAATCTTCAATATTCTTCATGGTTTTCAGGACAAATCTTCAATATTCCTCATGGTTTTCAGGACAAAATTCAAACTGGTATCACATAAGGCTCTTCGTGATCTAGGCTCTTTAACCTCATCTCCTATAATGCCCCTACTCTGACATACACTCTCCACTCCAACCACAAAAAAATCATATGTATTTCTACAAATGGCCATACTGTCATGTTTTTGTACATTCTATTCTTCTATCTGTATGGTCCATTTAATCCCACTCCCACCCACCTTATTGCTGGCTAGTTCCCACTGATCTTTTTCATGAGTTTAATTACATGATATTCTAATCCTATCCTTTAAATTTTCTATGTATTATATGTAATAAGCACCCTATACATTTAAATATTCATACTCAACCTATTTAATATTACAAAATACAAGCAATTCATCCACTACACTTAGGTAAAATTATAAACTCCAGAACTGTCTTATTTTAGTAAGGAATATAATTAAATGAGATTAACAGTTCTTCACTGACATCTATTTATTACCTATTTATCATATTCCAGATACTAAAGTGGTTTCAAAAATAACAAGAAGGGTTCCTGACTTCAATCTAATGGGATAGGGTGACAAAATATTAATATAATGTCATAAAGATATATACGTATGTGTATATATTTATTTATATAATTTCTTTTTTTTAAAGATGGGGTTTCACCGTGATGGCCAGGCTGGTCTTGAACTTCTAACCTCAGGTGATCCACCCACCTTGGCTTCCCAAAGTGCTAGGATTACAGGTGTGAGCCACTGCGCCCAGCCATATTTATTTAATTTCAATGAGAACAAAGAGGAATAAATAATTCACATATGTTAAGTAGTTACAAAAGAATTAGAACAAACTCTAAATAAAATGTTTTCTCCCTCAGTAAGATGACATTTTTTACTTAGAATTAGATTAAAACTCAGTCAATATCAAGATAAGTTCCTATTTCTAAACAAAGTAACAAGTTTTTGTATTTCTCTGTTGCAAAGCCTCACAGTATAACAGAATGTAGATATGCTTTTAAGTAAAAATTCTAAGTAGTCAAAAAGGCAAACATTAGAATTTTCAGGAAAATCCAGCAATATATGCTCATGAATACACTATAGGTTTGGTGAGTCTAACCATTCCAATTCACAGATGTTCTTTGACCCCTGATTAACAAGAAATGGTTCTTCCTCTAAACTGCTACACAAGAGAGAAATGAACTTTAATCTTACTAATTTGTCCCAATGTGTTGAGGTCCCTCCCTCCGTCCCTCCCTTCCTTGTTAAGAGACAGTGTCTTGCTGTATCACCTAGGCTGGAATGCAATGGCATGTGATCATAGCTCAATGCAGCCTCAAACTCCTGGGCTCAAGTGTTCCTCCCACCTCAGCCTCCCAAGTAGCTAAGACTATAGGCACATACCACCATGCTTGGCTAATTTTTATTTTTATTTTTGTAGAGACAGAGTCTCCTATCAGTGGCATGAGCCACTGCGCCCAGCAGGGCTCTTTGTTTTTACAGCAGCTTGGCCTATTCCTTAACCAACAAGGTAGAAATGGCAATGAATATACACTACTTTCTGAAAGATATGATACATGAAACTTAAAAATCAATTTCCAAAATTCACATTTAATATGCTGTAAGGTCTCTGCTCAGTTGCAAAGTAAAATACAAACTCATATGGATGCATAAAAGTAGCCTTTGTTATGAGTGTGCCACAACTACTTTAAAACAGCAACCCCTGTGAATGTGCGCCTTAGATTGTTTTCTAGAATCCCCATCCCTATGGTACCTATCTTCACCAGTCTGCCCATCCTAGTAAACACTTGTTTTACGGTGAAATGATCACTAGCGCTCCTTTTATTCATTATTATCCTGGTTTAAATAGCAAATTATGAGTTCACCCTATCTATCATCTACTTTCTGCTGCCCTTAAAAAAATCCTCAATAATTTGTCTTTTCATTCTGGAGGTCAGTTTCTATCATTTAACATCTTTAATACCTCTAGGAAAAGAAGTTATCTAGTTTTACCTACTCAGTCTCTGAGAGCAATCAGCTCAACATATTCTTCAATTTTACTATTAATACCTCTTCCCCCCCACCCTCATATTTGTGTGAGAGGACACCCTTGCCTTCTTTAGCCCAGATTTTTCTTTAAAGGAGATTATAGAGGCATCTAGGAGAAGTAGGAAAAAATGAACAAAATCTATATTAATTTTCCATGGTGAATACTTTCTGAGAATATCTAAAGGTAAAAATAGAGAATTCAATTTAAGTCTATAAAATAAACTGGATGCAGTGGCTCATGCCTGTAATACCAACACTTTGAGAAGCCGAGGCAGTTGGATCACTTGAGGTCGGGAGTTCAAGACCAGCCTGGCCAACATGGTGAAACCCTGTCTCTATTAAAAATGTGAAAATTAGCCAGGCGGGGTGGCGGGCACCCGTAGTCTCAGCTACTCAGGAGGCTGAGACAGGAGAATTGCTTGAGCCCAGGAAGTAGAGGCTGCAGTGAGCCAAGATGGTGCCACTGCATTCCAGCCTGGGCAACAGAGCAAGACTCCATCTCAGAAACATATATAAATACATATATGTACATATAGGTATAATAAAATTAAAAATAAATAAGCTAATAAAAGTATTTCTTTTTTGGCCAACACAACAGAATATATATATATATATATATTTTAAACCTCTGCAATTATTAGTTTATTAGTATCATCCAGGACTCAGATGTTCAGTATTCCTCCTGAAATTACATAAACAGATGCAAATGTAAATAATTTAAGTCAAAATTATATAACAAAACAGCACTCCATCACAAAAGTGTGTAAAATTACAAGAACGCTATTTTAAAATACTGGTACTGTAAGAAAACGATAATCTCAAAAACCGCAAAATTGCCAAATTGTTCCCTAAACTGGTAAGCAGATAAACATGACTAATGAATGAATTTGGGTTTTAAAGAAAAATCATCCGAATAAATTGAATAATTCATACTCAGAGGTAAAGTTTGTCTTCTTTCCTCCTATCTACTTGGATTTAAGGGGGCAAACCATAATATAGGAAAATATACCCTATTCTGAATGTGGTATCTTCATTTTAAAAGCTGGCCCAATGAATTAAAAATCTTGTAATGGAAAGTCTCGTTTCCTGAGCAGTCCATATTTAATGGGAAAACACATCTATAGCCAGCATTTTCATAGTCTTCACCGAGACTAACATCAACAAAAAATTTAATATGGCAGTCTTGTATTTTAAGCTCACGCTTTGGGGGATACATTCTCAGGTCTTCTTTAACATGGGAACTGCAAAATATAACTGCCATTACATGGTAATGGGAGTTAAAGAATAGAGTCCTCATGTAAAAGTTAGAACATACTTTTCTATTAGTCCTTCAAGGACAGACTTTCAAAATGTTTGATTCTAATAGTCCCATGCTGTGAGTAGATCAATTACTCTTCAGTTTGTAAATATAAGTGGGCTATGTGAAATTTCTTAACTGATCAAGATTTTGGATTTTTAATTATGGATGAAAACTATCTCAACTTCTTTACCCCCATTATGATATGCAGGGTGTGCAGACAAAAGCTTTTTATTAGCTAACTATATGAAAGGATAAACACTGTAATAATTCATGTGATTCAAAATGGGCAAAAGCAAAAAGACTAGCTTCCCCTCAAGAAGAAAAATTTCAGACCTATGAAAAGGACAACAATACTAATAAAAAAAATTGTATTTACTTAGAAGCATTCAGAATGTCAACAAAACAGCTGCAACTTTTTTTTTTTTTTGCAATTACAGAGTGGTATTCAGTTAACAGAACAACAATTATTTCGTATAAACTGCATCAGAGACAACTGAAGATGAAAAAACTACCATCCCTATATATAACTAATTTGTGCTGTGCACCAACAAGAACCTGCTTTAAATTTCCATGCCAATTTACAACCCCCATACTGTACCAGGCAAGGTTAGTGGCTATTGAAAATACCACCAGGACAGGGCTATCTAAAGACACATTCGGTAGTGTGTTAACTATACAAAAAAAGACACTGTACAGTTTAAAAACAAATCTTACACAGCCTTACATTTCAATTTTTTTCTTTAAAGGAGTGAGTTGTGTACAGGGGGGTTAAATGCTTTATAGACAAGAAAACAAAACTGCGCTAGAACCAACTTATTCATCATCATCATCTTCTTCATCTTCATCTTTTTCATCTTCCTCTTCCTCCTCATCCTCTTCATCTTCCTCATCTTCCTCCTCTTCCTTCTTTTTCTTGCTTTTTTCAGCCTTGACAACTCCCTTTTTGGCTGCATCAGGCTTTCCTTTAGCTCGATATGCAGCAATATCCTTTTCATATTTTTCCTTCAGCTTCGCAGCCTTCTTTTCATAATGCTGCTTGTCATCTGCAGCAGTGTTATTCCATATCTCTCCCAGTTTCTTCGCAACATCACCAATGGACAGGCCAGGATGTTCTCCTTTAATTTTTGGGCGATACTCAGAGCAGAACAGGAAAAAGGCCGAAGGAGGCCTCTTGGGTGCATTGGGATCCTTGAACTTCTTTTTTGTCTCCCCTTTAGGAGGAATATAGGTTTTCATTTCCTTCTTATAACGGGCCTTATCCGCCTTTGCCATATCTTCAAATTTTCCTTTCTCTTTAGCAGACATGGTCTTCCACCTCTCTGAGCACTTCTTGGAAAACTCTGAGAAGTTGACTGAAGCATCTGGGTGCTTCTTCTTATGCTCCTCCCGACAAGTTTGCACAAAAAATGCATATGATGACATTTTGCCTCTCGGCTTCTTAGGATCTCCTTTGCCCATGTTTAGTTATTTTTCCTCAGCGAGGCACAGAGTCGCCCAGTGCCCATCCGGCTCTCATTTGCCCCGGCGCTGTCTCTATGGAGCTCAATGTACTGCAATGGCTGTGAGAGCGGGAGCCAGACGCAGCCTCCTCATTCTCTCCACTCTGTAACCCAGAATATATATTTTTAACTGTGTTCTCTTCAAATAGTCATCTTGAGAGAAGTTCTATGATACCCCACAACTTATAGCATTTTCAGAATATCTGCTTTGAAATCGTGTTTAAGCCAGTTCACAATTTATAAAAAGAAAGTCATTTCACTAACTTATAGACAAGCTTATTTTTACTGCCTTTCCTTTACTAAAATTATTAATTTTGTGAATGATTCTCCATGGCTGAGAGCCCCTGCTCTGTTCTACATCTCCCTGATAAATCCCTTAGACTTTTGATGTGCCATCTGCACCAGTTTTGTGTATCAACCATTCCCCCACACTCTGAAAGCAGAAACTGATTATTTCATTCTTTTTTCCTTAGGGGTTGAGACATAAAAGACACTCAATCAAGATGTTTGGGATTGATTAATTAATATTCAGTGACTATGGATACAAATTATTTTTGGCTATTTTCAAAAATCAAATTCACCTTCAAAGGAAGATTTGCTACCCTTGGAAATATTTAAAAGAACTGAAGGCAATGTTAGAAAAAGGAGCTCCAAAGATGCTAAACAAATGTTGTATCATTTGCATAAATACATGGTCAAACATACACCCTCCTGAGACTGAACCAGGAAGAAACTGAATCACTGAATAGACCAATAATGAGTTCTGAAATTGAGGCAGTAATAAATAGCCTACCCACCAAAAAAAGCTCAGGACCAGATGGATTCACAGCTGAATTCTACCAGCGGTACAAAGAAGAGCTGATACTATTCCTACTGAAACTATTCTAAAATACTGAAACTGAAGGACTCCTCGCTAACTCATTCTATGAGGCCAGCATCATCCTGATACCTAAACCTTGCAGAGATATAACAAAAAAAGAAAACTTCAGGCCAATATCCTTGATGAACATTGATGCAAAAATCCTCAATAAAATGCTGGCAAACCAAATCCAGCAGCACAATCAGAAAGCTTATCCACCATGATCAAGTTGGTTTCATCCCTGGGATGCAAGGTTGGTTCAACATAGGCAAATCAGTAAGTGTGACAATCTTAAGCAAAAAGAACAAAGCTGAGACATTACGCTACCCAACTTCAAACTATACTACAAGGCTAGCATAACCAAAAGAGCACAACACTGGTACAAGAACAGACACATAGTCCAATGGAACAGAATAGAGAACTCAGAAATAAGACCACACACCTATAATTGATGGTGGCAGCTGCATCAGTTGGCCTGACATCACTTGTGCAGTGGGGAGGTGTGGCTGGGGCTGTATGCTCCAAGGAGCAGGCAGGAACCCTGCCCTCCTGGGTGGGGCTGCAGCCATCCAAGTAGAGCCTCCCTGTGCTCTTGGGGAGCTGGGAGCAGGCAGGAGCCACACCATACCAACCAGGATGTGCCTGCCCCTACTGCCTGGCTTCTCCCTGCTGTCTGCAACCCCTAAAATCATAGAGCAAAGTCTGGCGGAGCCTGAGTGCCATGAACAGCAGCAGGAGGCAGACAGAGTCCCAGGTGGAAGGAGGTGGATCCCTGTTAAGTTCCCTCCTTCAGGCCAACGAGGGCCTGTGGGCTGGGGGCTGGGCTGCCAGTCCCACAGACCTGAGTGGAAACTGGTACCTTTTCCAGGCCCGCCCATGGGCCAATCTGCACCCACTTCCTCCCCTCTGAGACACATAAAAGCCCCAGAGTCAGCCAGAGCTGAGCAGACAACCGAACAGGATGGCCAACTGCAGAGAGGACCTACCCTCTCTGCTGAGAGTTTCAGAGACCTGCAGAGACCCCCAAATGACCTACCTGCAAAGAGGAACTACCCTCTCCAGGGCCTCCTCTCTGATAACAGATGAACACTCAATGGATGGCCTGCCTGCCTACAGAGGGGAGCTACACGTACAGGTCTCCTCTGAGTGGTTCTGACACTAAATAAAGCTCCTGTTCATCTTCTTCACCCTTCATTTTTCTGCATACCTCATTCTACCTCATTCTTCCTGCATGCAGGACAAGAACTCAGGCAAAGGGAACACTGGCCACAGAGGTGTCCAAAAATTGAAACCCCAAAGATCCCATAACACAACCATCTGAACTTCAACAAACCTGACAAAAACAAGCAATGAGAAAAGGACTTCCTATTTAATAAATGGTGCTGGAAGAACTGGCCAGTCATATGCAGGAAATTGAAATTGGACCCCTTCCTTACATCACATAAAGAAATTAACTTAAGATAGATTAAAGACTTAAATATAAAACCCAAAACTATAAACACCCTAGAAGAAAATCTAGGCAGTAACATTCAGGATATAGGTATGGGCAAAGATTTCATGACGAAAACACCAAAAGCAAGTGCAACCCAAACAAAAACTGATGAATGAGATTTAACTAAAAAGCTTCTGTACGTCAAAATAAACTATAATCAGAGTGAACAGACAACCTATACAATTGGAGAAAAATTTTGCAATCTATCCATCTGATTAATATAACTGTAGTTAATATCCAGAGTCTACAAGAAATTAAAACAAATTTAAAAGAAAAAAAATCCCATTTAAAAAGTGGGCAAAGGACATAAACAGACAATTCTCAAAAGATGACATATATGTGGCCAACAAACATATGAAAAAAAGCTCAACATCACTGATTATTAAAGAAATGCAAATCAAAACCACAATGAGAAGCAATTGGATGCCAGTCAGAATGGCTATTACTAAAACGTCAAAAAACACATGCTGGTGAGGTTGTGGAGAAAAAGGAACGTTTTTACACTGTTGGTGGGAGTACAAATTAGTTCAATCACTGTGGAAGACAGTGTGGCAATTCCTCAAAGACCTAGAGGCAGAAATAAAATTTAAAATAAATAAAATTTAACCCGGCAATCCCATTACTGGGTATATACCCAGAGGAATATGTCATTCTATTATAAAGACACATGGACATGTATGTTGACTGCAGCACTATTCACCGTAACAAAGACATGGAATCCATCTAAACGCCCATCAATGATTGCCCAGATAAAAAAAATGTGGTACATACATACCATGGAATACTATGCAGTCATAAAAAGGAATGAGATCATGTCTTTTGCAGGAACATGGATGGAATTGGAAGCCATTATCTTCATCAAACTCATGCAGGAACAGAAAACAAAACACTGCATGTTCTCACTTATAAATGGGAGCTGAGTAATGACAACACATGGATACATGGTGGGAACAACACATACTGGGACCTGTCAGGGGTCGGGTGTGGGAAGGGAGAGCATCAGGAAGAATAGCTAATGTATGCTGGGCTTAATACCGAGGTGATGGGATGATCTGTGTGGCAAACCACCATGGTATATATTTATCTATGTAACAAAACTGCACATTCCTGCACATGTACCACTGAACTTAAAAGTTGAAGAGAAAAGAGAAAAAGAGAAAAAAAATACATTGTCTATTTTCCTTAGGGACTAGAGAGCAGTCTTTCAAATACATAAGTTCTGTTATGTTTGTTAAAAGAACTCGTCTTAATGCCCAATAGCCTAGAGCTCTTAACTAAAATCTTCCAAATAAAGAAAGAAAAAACTCAGTCCAGAGTCAAACTGGTTACCCTTCATCAATATCTGGCCTTAAAAGTGTTGTTACCTTTAAAGACTCTTGAATTCTTCTCTCCAAGATAAAACTGCCAATCGATCAGTGTCAAAACACTTTTTTTCTTTAGACAAAACCCCCTTTTTTTTTAAGACAAACAATATTTCCAGGTATCATGACAATATCTGTATAGCTATAAAAATGCCAAAATCAAGTTTCCATGAGACCTAGTTCTATTACCAGAGTAAGAAGACAAGAAATAACTAAGATCAGAGCAGAACTGAAGGAGATAGAGACACGAAAAACCCTTCAAAAAATCAATAAATCCAAGAGCTGGTTTTTTGAAAAGATCAACAAAATAGACAGACCACTAGCCAGAATGATAGAAAAGAGAGAACAACCAAATAGATGCAGTAAAAAACGATAAAGGGGAAATCACCACAGATTCCACAGAAATTCAAACCATCATCAGAGAATATTACAAACAACTCTATGCACATAAACTAGTAAACCTGGAAGAAATGGATAAATTCCTGGACACTTGTGTCCTCCCAAGCCTAAACCAGGAGGAAGCCGAAACTGTGAATACACCAATAACAAGGTCTGAAGTCGAGGCAGCAATTAAGAGCCTACCACACAAAAAAAGTCCAGGTCCAGATGGGCTCATAGCCGAATTCTACAAGACACACAAAGAGGAGCTGGTACCATTCCTTCTGAAACGATTCCAAATAATCCAAAAAGAGGGAATCCTTCCCAAATCATTTTATGAGACCAACATCATCCTGTTACCAAAACCCAGCAGAGACCCAACAAGAAAAGAAAACTTCAGGCCAATATCCATGATGAACATAGATGCAAAAATCTTCAATAAAATACTGGCAAGCCGATTGCAACAGCACATCAAAAAACTTATCCATCATGATCAAGTAGGATTCATCCCAGGGATACAAGGCTGGTTGAACATACACAAGTCTATAAACGTAATTCACCACATAAACAGAACCAAAAACAAAAACCACATGATTATCTCAATTGACGCAGAGAAGGCATTTGACAAAATTCAACAGCCCTTTATGCTAAAAACCCTCAATAAACTCGGTATCAGTGGAACGTATCTCAAAGTAATAAAAGCTATTTACGACAAACCAACAGCCAATATCATACTGAATGGGCAAAAACTGGAAGCATTCCCTTTGAAATCCAGCACTAGACAAGGAGGCTCTCTTTCACCACTCCTATTCAGTATAGTACTGGAAGTTCTAGCCAGAGCAATCAGGCAAGAAAAAGAAATAAAGGGTATTCAAATAGGAAAGGTGGAAGCCAAATTGTCTCTATTTGCAGACGACATAATGGTATACCTAGAAGTTTTCGCCTCAGCCCAAAAACTCCTGAAACTGATAAGCAACTTCAGCAAAGTCTCAGGATATAAAATCAATGTGCAAAAATCACTAGCATTCCTATACACCAATAATAGACTTAAAGAAAGCCAAATCAAGAACGAACTGCCATTCACAATTGCTACAAAAAGGATAAAATACCTTGGAATACAACTCACAAGGAACGTAAGGGACCTCTTCAAGGAAAACTACAAACCACTGCTCAACGAAATAAGAGAGGACACAAACAGATGGAGAAACATTCCATGTTCATGGTTAGGAAGAATTAGTATCGTGAAAATGGCTATACTGCCCAAAGTAATTTACAGAATCAACGCTATCCCCATCAAGCTACCATCGACTTTCTTCACAGAACTGGAAAAAACCACCATGAACTTCATATGGAACCAAAAGAGAGCCCGCATAGCCAAGTCAATTCTAAGTAAAAAGAACACAGCGGGGGGCATCACACTACCGGATTTCAAACTACACTACAAGGCTACAGTAATCAAAACAGCAAGGTACTGATACCAAAACAGAGATATAGACCAATGGAACAAAACAGAGGCATTGGAGGCAACACAACATATCTACAATCATACAATCTTTGATAAACCTGACAAAAACAAGCAATGGGGAAAGGATTCCCTGTTTAATAAATGGTGTTGGGAAAACTGGCTAGCCATGTGCAGAAAGCAGAAACTGGACCCCTTCCTGACACCTTACACTAAAATTAACTCCAGATGGATTAAAGACTTAAACATAAGACCTAACACCATAAAAACCCTAGAAGAAAATCTAGGCAAAACCATTCAGGACATAGGAGTAGGCAAGGACTTCATGACCAAAACACCAAAAGCATTGGCAACAGAAGCCAAAATAGACAAATGGGACCTAATCAAACTCTACAGCTTCTGCACGGCAAAAGAAACAGTCACTAGAGTGAATCGGCAACCAATAGAATGGGAAAAAATTTTTGCAGTCTACCCATCTGACAAAGGGCTGATATCCAGAATATACAAAGAACTCAAACAGATTTACAGGAAAAAAAACAAACAAGCCCATTCAAAAATGGGCAAAGGATATGAACAGACACTTTACAAAAGAAGACATACATGAGGCCAACAAACATATGAAAAAATTCTTATCATCACTGGTCATTAGAGAGATGCAAATCAAAACCACATTGAGATACCATCTCATGCCAGTTAGAATGGCGATCATTAAAAAATCTGGAGACAACAGATGCTGGAGAAGATGTGGAGAAATAGGAACACTTTTACACGGTTGGTGGGAGTGTAAACTAGTTCAACCATTGTGGAAAACAGTGTGGCGATTCCTCAAGGCCTTAGAAATAGAAATTCCATTTGACCCAGCAATCTCATTACTGGGTATATATCCAAAGGACTATAAATCGTTCTACTATAAGGAAACATGCACACGAATGTTCATTGCAGCACTGTATACAGTAGCAAAGACCTGGAACCAACCCAAATGCCCATCGATGATAAACTGGACAGGGAAAATGTGGCACATATACACCATGGAATATTATGCAGCAATCAAAAATGATGAGTTCGTGTCATTTGTAGGGACATGGATGAATCTGGAGAACATCATTCTCAGCAAACTGACACAAGAACAGAAAACAAAATACCGCATATTCATCACTCATAGGTGGGTGATGAAAAATGAGAACACATGGACACAGGGAAGGGAGTACCAAACACTGGGGTCTATTGGGGGGAAGAGGGGAGGGACAGCGGGGGCGGGAGCTGGAGAGGGATAGCCTGGGGAGAAATGCCAAATGTGGGTGAAGGGGAGGAAGGCAGCAAAACACACTGCCATGTGTGTACCTATGCAAATGTCTTGCATGTTCTGCACATGTACCCCAAAACCCAATGCAATAAATAAATAAATAAGGCTCAGTAGCTGAACTTAATTAACTTTAAATGAATAAATCATCCAATCACAGATGAATGAGTCTCAAGGGGCAGTAGGAGAAGAAAAATAATCACAGGTAAGGGAGACTGCTCAATATTTAAAGACTTTAAAAAGTATAAGCTAATTATAACTCAGATGTTATAAAATGTCATACCTTAAATTCCCATGATCACATAGTAGTGAAATTTAGCTGTTCTTACTATTAAGATTGTCACAGAACCAGGTTGTACACACAGATTCTTAGGAATTCCCAAATATAAGAGTTAAATTCTATGAGAAAGTTACCAGTATCTGTTATTTCCAATGCTCACACTGAGCAAAAAAAAAAAACCCACCCCATTACTAACCTACCACATCACTACAAGAGTCACCTTAAAACAAGATTTTCCTCCTTTGTTTAAAAACAAGGCAGTCTCATACCAAGCAACAGGTGATAAGGTATAAGTTTAGACGACTTTACTTTCAGTAGAAAACACCTGATGGCACTTGAACAAAAGCATATTACTGTTCTTAGAGTTTCATACTATCACTGTTGTTTTTGTTATTGTTGTTATTATTGCTATTTTTAGAAATGGGGTCTTTCTCTGTCACTTAGGCTGGAGTGCACT